GATGATTTCAGAAGATATTTCCACACAAAAATCAACCGCTGGGATGCCGCAAAGGATCTCTTATTGGTGGAAAAACGGCAGGAAGCACTCAAGGATTGCGAGAGAGTAAAGAGAGGTTATGTGAAAAGGAAGGAGTCGTTCTGCATGGAGGGAAGAAAGCAGCAGGCAGCAAAGAAAGTTGTCAGAGTGTCAACGTCAACGCCAGAATTCCCCAATACCACCACACCACATCAGCAGTACACTTTAGCAGAACTAAAGAAAATGAAAGCAACTGAGCTTCTTGTTCTACTGTCTCAGCAAGGGAGAGTATTCAACAAAAGGACAAGGAAGCAAGTATCAATAAATGCGTATTTAGGTAATTATTTGAGCTGGTTAACTCATCTCCGGTGGAACTGCTATCATCTTCCATCAAGAGTCACAAATCCACAAATCTTGTGGACATGATATGTTACATTCGAGGCTGCTTAAAATATCTGCTCCTGTTATAGCACTTCCAGTGTCAATAATAATCTGTTCTTATACAGTTAGGTGAAAAATGGGCCAGGTAACACCTCTTTTCAAAAAAAGGGGATGAACTTTCCAAAAATAATTATTGGCCCGTGACTGTATTACCAGTCTAAAACAACATCTGAAATAATCTTGTCAAATCAGTTATCGGAGTATTCTAAAGATATATTGTCTGACTTTATATCTACATATCGAAAGAATTATAGCTGTGAGAACACGCTACTACGTTTAATAGGGGATTTGAGGGCTAGCCTGGATAATAAGGAAGTGGTTGCTGTGATATTGCTGGATCTGTCCAAAGCTTTCGATTGTGTACCTCACCGTTTGCTACTGGCTAAGCTGAAGGCGTATGGGGTAGCCAAACCTGGCTTTGCTCTGATGCGGAACTATCTAACTGGAAGGTCACAAAGAGTAAAGATGGCGCCAATGTTTCTACCTGGATGCCGGTTACAAAGATTAGAAGCGAGACTTAAATGCCATCTTCTCAAAGCTGACCACTTGTTCGGTGTGAATGGTATAGCAAATATTACGCGATGGTGTTGGGAAATACTAATGGCACTTTTAGTTTTCGTGTCAAAAGCATTAAAATTTCTGTAACAGATAGCACTGACCTCCTAGGAGTGAACATTGATAAGAACAAAAAAATGATTTTGGACTTCCATATATTCAAAGGTGTACCCTCCTGATGAGGATGTAGGTTTTGCTAATATGTGTGTTCTGGAAGATGTACCACGTGAACGAATTCTGTTTGGAGCAAAGGATGTTGGTGACAAGAGACTTTAAAACAAAGGGTTAATTGGAAGTGAGAACTTGGTGTCGAAGGTTGGGGCAAAAGTGATGTTTATTTAGAATCTAAATGACCACATTAAAAATGGTGTTCAAGACACAGTGGTATCATTTCTGAATGGCCTTCCAGTTGTAGCTACTGCTTCAGAAAGCCTCAGAGTGGACAGAGCAGCATGGCCCGTTTATGATCAAAAGAATTCAACAAACGTTATTGGCACTAGAACCCACCTTCCCCTGACATTGGCATGGGCAATGACTGCACAGAAGGCTCAAGGTAAACCCTGGGTGCTGTGCAAGTTCATTGTGGCAAGGAATTTGCTCCAGGCAACCTATATGTCGCTTTTTCAAGGGTTGGAAGTAGAGAGCAGTTACGTGTCGCTGGCTTTGATTTCAAACGATCGCGTCCTGCTCCAAAGGTGGTGCTGAACTTCTTCGGCAATTTATGTAATGTTCCTGCAGAAGAAGACTGTTCATGCCATCGCACCAAGAGATAAACGCTGCAAATCTGTTCCTTAGTCACTAAAGACTTTGATAAAGAATTTTTGGAGGAAGATTGATGAGGCTAAATCTCCATACCTTGCAACAATGTCAGAAGCAGAAACTGAGATTGTGAATTTGGCTGAGGTACTGCAAAAGCGGTCTTCATCGGAAAACTTTCAAAGCATTCCTGAAGACTTCAATACGGCTAAATTTGTAACCTCATTTAAAAAGACAGAAGAGGTGACTGAAGTGAGCAGAAGCCTCCAGAAAAGTGCCAATGACACTTTTAGTTAGCTAACTAAGCCTGAAATCCCGCTACAGACAAGATTGTTTGTAGGTGCTGTTATGATTGGTTAAACTTTGTAACAAGATCACGTGAATTGTACCAACACGTGTCAAGTTCTTTTAGAATAAACTTTGCTCTTGTACAAAGTGGATGTGTGTTCTCGATCTCTTGTTCATAACATGGTACCAGGAGTGCTTTACCAATAAGTTCGATCTCTTACTGCGACAGAAAGTCAATCAGAATGGAAAGAATCAAACCTCCTCCACAATTGGATATTGAGAGTCTTCACCTCGCGGACGAGTGGAAGGAATGGCAGGAGCCTGGGAGTTGTACCGAATATCGAGCGGTCTTCAGGACAACGATGATTTGGTGCAGATAGCGACCATTTAGAGTATACTGGGAACGAAAGCTAGGCGAGTCCTGAAAACATCACCGAATGTCCCAGCTGATATTACGGAGAGAACAGTGACAGGTATTTTGACAGCACTGGAGACGTACTGCGTGCCATGTAAAAACACAATCTACGAACAATACGTTTTTCGAATGACATCACAGGAAGATCGCGCAGTCAATGTATTTGTTACAGATCTCAGACAAAGAGCTGAATATTGCGAGTTTGGAGCGTTAAAAGGTTCCCTAATTCGAGATCAAATTGTGGTAGCCATTAATGATCCTACTCCGTGAAACGAACCTCTCACTTGAGAAGGCAAGCTTTGTCGAAAAAAAGGAGCAATCCAAGGAACAGTTGAAATCTTCGACACACCAACGGGTCAGAAAAGTAGAGCAAGTCAGTCTTAATACCAATGAACTTCAACAAAAACACGCTATATATAAATTTAAAATATATTTTAAATGAGGTTCAGGATGTTTTTGAAGGTTTAGGGTGTGTAGAGGGTGAATACACCATCAAACTGAAAGTTAATAGTCAACCTACCATTCAACCACAAAGGAATGTTCCCCTCAGGTTAAGGAATAAACTCAAAGCCACTCTTGATGATTTAGAAAGAAGGGATATTATCACTAAAGTAGAAGAACCGGTTGATTGGGTCAACAATTAAGTTGTAGTCGAGAGAGCAAATAACACCCTGAGACTATGCCTAGACCCACCTGACTTGAATCAGGTCATAGAAAGGGAGGATTTCAAACCCCCAAGTTTTTAAACTATTTCAAACACACTCAATGGTTGCAAGGTTTTCTCAGTTGTTGACATGTAAAACTGTTACTGGCACCAAAAGCTTACAGAGGAGTCTTCATTTTTGTACACTTTTAATTCACCTTTTGGCAGGTTTCGGTTCAAAAGAATGCCATTTGGTATTTCATGTGCAGGCAAGGTTACACAAAAAATGGTTGAGAAACATTTCGGTGATATTTCAGGTGCGTTACCAGTTTTTGATGATATTATCATTGGTGATAAAACTGAAGAAGAACATGATTTGGTCCTCCGCAAGTAACTGACAACAGCAAGAGAACGTAATATTAAGTTCAACTGAGACAAAATTCAATTCCGTATTGACCAAGTCAAGTCAAGTATATGGGTGATAACATGGATAACATGCCCACACATTCATGCAAGCAACACTTTCAAAGGTTATTGGACATGATCATTTATCTTAGCAAGTATATTCCCAACATGTCAGAATTAACTGCTGCTTTACGATCCTTACTCAAGGGTGATGTATCCTGGGTATGGTTCCCTGAACATGATTCTGCACTCACCAACATTAAGACAGTTTTGAGTAGTGCCCCTGTTTTACGCTTTTATGACACCAGCTTATCAACAACACTCCAAGTTGATGCTAGCAAAGATGGCTTAGGAGCATGCCTGATGCAACAAGGCCAACCAGTTGCATATGCCTCACGTGCCTTGTCAAATTCAGAGATAAATTACCACCTATAGAAAAGGAAATGCTAGCAATTGTTTTTGGGTGTGAGAGAGACTCATGGGGCTGTAGTGGAAGTGCATTCGGATCATAAGCCTCTCGAAAGTATCTGTAAAAAGCCTCTATTTACAGTTCCTCTCCCCTTACAAAGAATGAGGCTGTGTTTACAGAAGTATGACATTAAAGTTAAGTATGTCCCAGAATGGCAGTATTTTGGCCAGGCATGACTAAAGATGTTGAACAGATGGTTTCTAGCTGTGAAAAAATGCATGAAATACCAGAGCAAACAACCCATAGAACCCATGCAAACTCACGATGTCCCTTTATTACCCTGGCAGACAGTTTCTTCAGATATTTTAGAGCACAAAAATCAAAACTATCTCGTGGTCATTGATTATTATTCAAAGTATATTGAGGCACTCCAACTCACGGGTAAAGCAAGTCAAAATGTTATTCAGGGTCTTAATGAAATCTTTTCCAGGCATGGATACCCCCAAACACTAGTGGCTGACAACATGCCCTACAACTCCAGAGAAATGAGGCAGTATGCTTAGAGGTGTGGCATGCAAATCACAACAGTCCGTCTCACTTATAGCCAGTCAAATGGCCATGCAAANGAGGCTGTGTTTACAGAAGTATGACACTAAAGTTAAGTATGTCCCAGGAAAGAATGACAGTATTTTGGCCAGGCATGACTAAAGATGTTGAAGAGATGGTTTCTAGCTGTGAAACAATGCATGAAATACCAGAGCAAACAACCCATAGAACCCATGCAAACTCACGATGTCCCTTTATTACCCTGGCAGACAGTTGCTTCAGATATTTTAGAGCACAAAAATCAAAACTATCTCGTGGTCATTGATTATTATTCAAAGTATATTGAGGCACTCCAACTCACAGGTAAAGCAAGTCAAGATGTTATTCAGGGTCTTAATGAAATCTTTTCCAGGCACGGATACCCCCAAACACTAGTGGCTGACAACATGCCCTACAACTCCAGAGAAATGAGGCAGTATGCTTAGAGGTGTGGCATGCAAATCACAACAGTCCGTCTCACTTATAGCCAGTCAAATGGCCATGCAAAAAAGGCTCTACACATTGTCAAAAACATGTTAAGAAAAGGAAGTAACTTACATGAAGGTCTCATGGAGTATCGCAATACACTAATAAGTAATTTTCCTTACTCACCCAACCAAATGTTGTTCAGCTGGCAAGTTTGTACACAGGTTCCAGTCCACCTCTTAATGTGTGCCACAAGTGTGCAAAGGATGTTCACTTACTTGAAAGGAGTTAAGCTAAGTCCAAGGAATTCTATATCGAGGTGCTAAACAGTTACCCCCACTTAAGGAAGGGGAAAGTGTAAGGTTCAGAAAACCAGGTGACAAACACTTAACACCTGCTGTAGTTAAGGGTGAACATTAGGCTCCCAGATCTTATGTGATTACTGATGAGACGGGTAAAGAGTACCGTAGAAACAAACGTCAAATTCATCTTACTCAGGGACCACTTACTACTCTAAGCGAGTACCTAAATGATGTCTCAGATTCTGTAACTGACCAATGTGATGTAAACATGCCTAGCACAGAGTCTCATGCCGAGTTGGAACTGACAACTACCAACACAATCAGTCTCCAGGTCTGCGTCGTTCTACGCGGGCTAAGTGCATTCCAGGTTGGCATAAAGACTATAAGATGTACTAGTAGATTTAAAACTTAAGGTTTATTCACAGTTAAGTTACTATTTACTCCGTATTCTAGCGCCACTTATTACGAGTAATATGATTTGTAACGAGAACAGCTAGCTTAGGAAGGCGATGTTATGATTGGTTGAACTTTGCAACAAGATCACGTGAATTGTACCAACACGTGTCGAGTTCTTTTAGAATAAAATTTTGCTCTTGTACAAAGTGGATGTGTGCTCTCGATTTCTTGCTCATAACAGGTGCAGAGAGGAGTAGGACTTTCACATTGATCAGAAAGTAGGTTTCAGCAGAAGTAAACAAGAACGTTCAGAGGAAAGAATTCACATGCCACTTTGCTGATTTGCATGGCCTGTTTTTTCAAATGACCTAGAAAAAGAATTTGCAGCATTGGTACGGATCCCTGTGTCGCTTTTAGTCGAACAGCATTACCATGTTCTACCTGAAATTATGGCGCTTAATTCACAGATTTTGAAAGTAATTGTTGGAGAGGGTTTCCCTTCTTCGGTAGTAGATGGTCATGGAAGCGATGCTTAAAAAATGACACAGAGAGTAAAGGGTAGGTCCGTCACTGTGGTGCTTGGGCAATTGCCAAAGTTAGAAATGCATGCAGAGAGTACTTCAAGACAAACATTTATTCAGCAGATGCTGATGTCTGGTTTACTGCTAAAGAGGCAGTTATTTAGATAGTCATCGAGTATTCCTTGTAAGAAGATAAACTTTTGTTCATCCCTTCAATAATTCATTGACAGGCAGTTCGCTGAGGGATAGACTTGTTTATCACAATTATATACCGCAGCGAAAACTGCGCTATATAAGCAAACTTTCAGCATGATTGTATCATTCTCTTTAGAACCAGCAGACATTCTACATTGTCAGCGTACATAGCAATTCAACTTTTTTTTATTATGACAAGCTTTGATTCGTGGTGCAGCGACCATGGGCTGAAGCAGAAGACAATTGACAAGCTAGGGAAAAGCAATCTGGATTCCCAAGAAATCTTGAAGTTAGTCCACGCGGACGACATTGCCACGTTGGACCTTACCCTTCGACAGAAGAAACTCCTACTACATGCCTTAGCAGAACCGAATGGTTTCGGAAAAAATCCCTAAGACTGGCGACACAAAACCACTTGAAACAACGCCAGTCAGTTTGACGAATACAGGAAATCAAACACGGTACTTTGTGGCTCACATTTGAAAGCATCTGGTCAGATATCTTATCATTTAGAAACAGAGACATGTTTTCCCTCTTTGATAATTTGGATCTCTTCTCGTCCAGTTGCTTCTCATGCAATGGAGTGGGTCTTTTCAAAGGAGAAGACTCCATTATTATTTAAAACTCCCTCCACAGCTGATGTTTTAATATTCGTATAAGTAAGGTCTGCTGCTTTTTTATTTCTGGCCTCATTCACTTCTGTCACCGAGTGATGCAGTTCAGATCGAACCAAGTCATGTGGTACAAGTTTCCTCCTTTGTCTTTATTTTGACTCGGCACTTCATGCCTCTGTTGCCCTGCTGTGTGCCAGCGAGGATGGGCTTGCGATTATTGATCTTCAAAATGGCAAACAACAAGTCGATTCACGGAAGATAAGAAGCGAAGAAATCGTTTACATTAGATTCATAAAGATCTCATTGGGCTCATTAATCGCTAAGCAACAACGATATAATTGTTTCAAGGTGAGATGTTAAATAAGTAATTAATTCATTAATGGGATCTGAACCCTGTGCCACCTACAAACATAAATCCTAGCTATAAAATACCGCCTACAAACATACCATTCCAAATGGTAACCTCCTTCCTGAACTCATCTCAGCACCGCAATATTGGCCACCAACTTGGCTCCCAACTAAACAGGATCAATGCCACATAAAGACTCTTCCCCTACCTTATCCTCACCTATAATGCTTACATTTTAATAAGATATTAATTACACTTTTCTATCTTTATTATTACCTCATTTTTGACCACAGTTACGTTCACATTTTTCCTGAAGCAAAAAGGAAAGACGCAAAGGCAGCTTTGAGAGGGGCTGAAACACTTTCAGCCCCATCAACAACAACAAAATCTGCACCAAAGAATCGGTCCAGACAAAGAAGTCATTTGGTGATGAATTTGTTCAGGATGAAAACGAATGTTAGTAGCAGTTAAGTCAAGTTTAACATTTCCCTCTCTACCTCTGCCTTTCCACATCACTGAGATTTTATTCAAGTTTGGATAATAAAATGAAAATTATAGATAATTGTTAGAGGTATGAACACTAAGAAAATTAAATCATGTGAAATCCTTAAAAGAGGGTCCCCAATAGGGTTTTTCAATCCCATAATCCCGACCCAAAATTGCATGCAATCCTGTGATCCCAGGGGTTATTTTTGACATCCCACCTTCCACGCATACTTTCAATCCCGAACTATAGCTGGTTAATAACAGGGGTGCTTGCAAAAAGCATTTTTACAAGAACTAAATTATTTCTTGCGCGCTGATTGGCTAATATTTATCATCAATAAGAGGAAAGGCATATAAAATTTTAATGCATGCGATATTGCAAAAGTTTCAATATGGAGGATTTTCCAAACTTTAACTTGTTTGATTTTAATTTTTTGGACTTAACCGCAGGCAAGGGAAATTGGCACTACTGAGGAATGCTCTGATGCACACGATTTCTGCCTTAGAGAAAGTAGAAAAAACTCAGAAAGCAACAATAGCCGCTTTCCGCCTTTAAGTGGAGAGGACTTGCAAGAAATTGCTTCAAACACGGAGTCTAAGGGGACAAAATGAAACACTGAGGATAAAAACAATGTTCAAAATTCAATAACAATCTTAACAGTCGTTTTATTCAAATGAAGCACATTACATCAGTTTCCTTTAAACAAAAGTTTATGAAAAGACCACATGTACTTTCGGTTTCATTTGCTCGAGATGAGTGAAGAAGAACTTGACGAAAGTCTCCGGCATTTTTATGCTGAAGCCTGGACAAAAACTGGCGAAGAATACGGTTGGTTGTCTCTTCTCGGTTTCGGCAACCCCATTGAACGGCACTTCATTGCCAAGAACAGTTACCTAAAGATAACATGAAATATTGCTTTCCATTGCAGCAACAAGATGCTTGAAAGCAAGTTGAAAGCTCTTCGAAGAGATTACAAGGAGAATGTACAGCATAAACCAGTAATAGACTCTGCAGACCTGATTAAGATAAAACCCGGGTGGCAGTTACGGATCCCTTTTTGTGTTGGCCAAGGGAATTTCAAAAAAGAAAGAGGAAGGGAAGGCTAAAGAAAGGGACTCATTCAAATATGAAGTTCTTGGTGGAACTCATCTATCTTTAGCCACAAAAAAACTCCGTGCAAAGAATCCTGACAACCAGCACTTCCCAGGGAGAATGTGTAGGGTGTATGTTGGCCTTACCAACGAACAAGCAATTTATTTAGGTGCCATGCATCAACAGTCTTCAATGTACCAGCATGACGTTTCATACAGGGAGGAGGCAAGACATTGTTTCATTTTGATTAATCTTTTTTGCATATCAATGATTTTTTTTTCACAATAATATTTTTTTTACTTTTCTGTTTCATATTTTTCCTCCTTCAAGCTGTAACAATATACCCTCAAATATATTTAGCCTTATGTCGTTCTTGTTAGCTAGTTAGGGTGTATGCATTATGCTCTATCCTTCAATGAATTTAATTTTTCTTTGTTGTTATAACCAATTGATCTTTTTTTAATTCAGTCTGCGAGCACTACAATCCATAGTTATATTTTTTAGCTTGATTGATTATTTTATGAGTCCTTTTAAAGTAATAATTTCAAATTATCCTCAGGTTGAGAGGCGTCGTATGCAGTTGTTCAGAGAGGAGAATATTTCAGGTAATCCACCAGAACCAAGGCCATCATGGAGGGATGACTGTTCGGTAATACTACGTAAGCAGGCATGCCAAGTTGACTGTAGGAAGATGATTTGCCAGACAATTCACTGCATCTATGGTTGATGTAGTAGTAATTTATCAAAAATAGAAAGGCTTTAGTACATACAAATGTGTACAGTTCCCTGAGCTGAGTCAAAATCTAACTTTACTGCTGTCATTATGAATAACCAGTGGCGGATCCAGACTTTGAACTAAGTGGAGGGCTTGTTCATCCAGACCCTGAGATAAGAGGGGAACCCACTCTAAAAAAAACTTCTCAGCCCCGCAAGCCTCAGTTTAGCCTACATGTAGGAATATGATGGGACCTGGGTCCTCTGGGCCCCTCCCCTAAATCCGCCATTAGTATCTGGAAATAGAACAATATATTAATTAACGAGCAGAGATTATCTTTGTTAAGAAAGGTGATGTACTGTAAGTTTATTGAATTCACTTTAAAGATACTTTAATACATTTATTATTTGCTTTCAATGTTGATAAAGGATTTTCTAATTGAGCTCACATTTTCCTTTGATTACTTTGCTACCAAAATCAAAATCATCTAAGTTTGAATCAACCAACAATTTTTAAACTATAATTAAGACCAGTCTTCTGCAATTGCCTGGAGTAGGAGATTGGATATATTTTATGGAAATAGTTATTGTTTTTGTTTGTTTATTGCAACTTGATAATCCATTGTAATTATGTTTCGTAATACCCGTCAGGTGTTTGTAACTTTTGATTGTTGGGTTTAATTTGCAGGTGCAGTAGGTTGTGGGTGCAATGGAGGGTATGAGGATTGGAATTAAGGAGCAAGTTACAGGGCCTTTAGACACACCTGCACACTTGTAAATTAAACCCTCTGATTTGAGATAATCATTATTGTTGTGGAAAATACCTTAAACTAAACCTTTATGTGCAGGTAATAGAAAAGAAAATCAGCTTGAAAGAGTTGAAAGAAGAAGCGGAACTTCTAAAAGCTCTTTCCCAAGTGCAAGATGCCATTGTCAAATTTTTCCACGTGGGTACTGGCAGGAGACTGTAACAAAATTTGGAAACAGCGTGCGCTCTTAAAGGCTTTTACGTTTTAAGGCAAAAATTAATGTCCATTTTTTTTTAGTTAGTCTTAAGTTATGGCCAGTATACATATATAACCTGAACTGAAACATAATAATAATAATAATAATAACGAATATTTATACAGGATAGCCCTTCAGTGGAAGAGCACTGTTATCAAAGGGGTCCTGTCATAAAAACATAATATAAGGATAAAAACTAAAATAAGATAAGAATGACTACGCAACTAACTAACTACACTATACAAAAAATGATCTAAAGACTCCCTAAATAGTATCCTACAGCTAATTTGCTTGATTTTTAAAGGTAAAGAATTAAAAGCTGAAGCGCCTAAGAAGTAAAAACTTTTCCGAGCAAAGTCAAGTTTCACTTTCGGCAAAGCAATGGTGGTCCCGCTGTTCCTCGTATTAAAATCGTGGATTAAAAGATTAAAATAATCTTTGAAAGGACTACAAACATTGCCTTTTAGGCAATCAAAAACAAATAAACAAGCCTTTTTCTTTAAAAAATTTTCAATTGAGGGTAGACGGAGTTCACAGTTTAGACATTTTGAGTTTTGCAGAATAATCCTGTGGCTTCGTTGTTCCAGGTTTCTTATTTGGCACCTTCGTGTCTCTGACCAACCAAGCGTAATTTGACCGCAATAAGTAAATATGGGCATTATCATTGCTCTGTAGATTCGTTCAGCGCTTAAGGTGTCAGTGT